CCAACTTCAACAGAATTAGATGCTACTGTGATATATTTACGACAAATGTTAATTACCTGCTAAAGGCAGCTAAGGCTTATTCGGACCAATAACTCATGTTACAAATTTATACCTGTGTTGCATTTGTTGTTTTCTTTTCGCTTTTTTTCGCTTTTTTTTTGCTTTTGTATTATGTTTATAAATTGTCCTATAAATGGGAAACTGTTGGACAATAAAGCTATTATTATTATTATTATTATTATTATTAATATGGAATTGCCAAACTTCTCGGAGTTAGAGGCCATGGTGTCCGGCATACTGTTCAAGAGGAACTTTTTTTTATATCGAAGCAGCCGCGCAGCCAGAAGCCTAAATGCCGGAACACCGCGGCTGCTATGATGATCACAAAGAAATTTTGGGAAAAAACTGGAGGTGATTAATTTGGCGTTGGATGATCCTAGTACAAGTTGCAGCCCCCTCAGATTCGCAAAATCCATCAGACATTTTACAGCTTGATTTAGATAAGGTACATCAGTTTACTATGTAACATAATCTTGCTATTAATCCAGATAAGACACAAGTGTTATTGTTTTGTACTGATCAGAAGAGGAAAACTGTCGAAGATTCTTTCCATCTAACTATTGATGGCATAACATTACAGCATACTCAAACAGCTAAGGTACTAGGAGTGGAAATTGACACAAAATTAAGATTCCGCAGCCAAATAGCTAATTTGATGAAAAAACTTACCTGTGTTCTAGGGGTCTTTATTCCAATCGCTACTTGCTTAACTTTAAGCTGAGACAAAAACTGTGCGAATCTTGGTGATGTCAATCTCAGTTACTGTGATGTCGTTTATTATCCATGTTTGGACCAAAAATCGTCTTCAAATCATCCAAAATAACTGTGTTCGCTTTATTTATGGGTTGCGTAAATACGATCACGTAAGTGATAAATATAGGGAATTGAACTGGCTTAGGTTAGGAAGTTTGGTTAAACATAAATTCTTAGTTTTAGTTCATAAAATAATATTTTCAGCCTGAATATCTAAGAGCTAAGTTAAGATTTAATTACGAAGTGCATGACAGGGCTGTTGAATCGTTATAGTATCAGAACCACCCCACACACTTCTGCATTATTCCAACGAGGATTTACATATAATGCAGCACGTTTTTATAATCAGTTGGACAACAGTATTAAATTGATATCTTTGGAAAGTTTTCGTAAACATACTAAAAGCATGTTGCTCGCTATTGATTAAATAAGCATTTCTGCTACAGATATAGATTGTGTCTATTTGTATTTTATACTTAGGTATATATATGTGTTCTTTTTTTCATTGTTCTTATATTTTTTTTCCATGTTTTGGACATCAGATGTAACCGACATAAACAGTTAAGTGTAAGAGTAGGCTTGGCTAAACTTCGCTGTTTATGTCCCTCCGGGTTATCCAATAAAGACGTTATTATTATTATTGTTATTATTATTATTATTATTTTTACGAAAACAGTGTACTCTAGGAAAAACACAAAAGTAATTATTTATAGCAAATTGAAGGTAACATTCGAAAAATTGCGCACCGACAGTGGCGTACTATTTTTATTTGGAAAAGTAAAGCCACTAATCCTCGGTATCTCCGCCACTGCTGCACGTTAATTTTAAGACTTTTGAATGTGGACAATACATAGGTAAAACCATATGTCAAATTTTAGTTCATTCCAGTTGACGGTTGAAAAATAATTGTTTTTTATTTTTAAAATCTTTTTAATGAAGCACTCGCGGAAAAAATGTTACATAGAAGACCCCCCTTAAAATGCGAACCTGTGTTTGATGTATCATTTTTGATCACGACTTCTGTATCAGAGTTACAGTACATGATTTCACAAGTCGGCGGACATCATTGCGAAAGATCACGCGGAAAATGTATTCGTAACAATTTTCAAGTTTATGTCGCAAGTACGAGTATGACATGTGACTCTTATTGAAGACACCTTCCTACGAGTATAATAGTGCATTTGCAGGATGTTGATGCGTTCCTCCATCCTAAAACAATCCTCTACTAAATTCTTGGTTATCTAGATGACACACCCGCAACACAAAATACTTGGGGCAGTCTTTACATTATACCTCCAATCCGAAACTTAGTCTTGGTTGCGCACAAAATGAACAAAAACTATGCACTGGTGTACAGCATCAAAGTAATTACTCTTCTCTTCATTAATTCCATCCACGAAACTTTTTCTCGGGAAGGAAATCCGAGTGGACACCCCTGCTAGGGCACGCCAACGTCCATTTTCTCTATGCGGTAATTATCAGGTAAAACGTGCTGCAAATAAATAACTTGATTACTTTTGTTTCCCGCTTTTGTATTGCAGGTAATTGCCAGTTTTCTAATTTGTTCTTTCCGCTAGTAAGGAAGCTAAAAGTAGAATTGATGCTTTCCCTTACTTCCCAGGCATAAGCTGAATTTATATACTTTGCTCATATGTATAGACGAAAATCAATCAACTTCAGTCTAAGTAATAAAAAATGTGAGATATGGGTGGTTTTCATAACTTGCACTCAAACAGTGGCGCAACTAGTTTGCTGATTTTGTGGGGGCTTGAGCCCCAGCACTTGAAAAGTGACATTATGCCGATTTGTTTTTGACATTATGCTGGTTTTTTTGACATTACGTAGTTTTTTCTACAAGATATTAATTTAGGTCTTAGTTGTACGTATTGCCTAAAGGTCATGAGGCTTATTATCAATCTTTGATGTGATTTAAAATCTGCTTCTGAGATGGCATTACTGGAGGTCTAAGCTGTAAGTTGTATGTGTTGATGATAATTACATTGGGTTCTTGTCTCAAATACACTTAATTGAGATTCAAGGCTAGTTGCGCATTCACTTTTTCTTATCCATTCTGGAAGCTACATATACAAACTTGCTGAGTTTCAAAAATGAGAGAGATAAGGAATAATTATATTCACTTTACACTGTCGAATTACAAGCCATGTTAACAGTAATTGCACACAACGCGCGCAATTCTCCTCAGTTTTTCGTAATTTATAACTTTGAACATAACCTCTCTTCAGAAAGCACAACATAAAAATAACCCGTCGGGCACAGCCAATAGATATACTTCATTGGCAGCATATTCAGTAATGATCCAAGCGCTATAAACGATTATTTTGCATCAGTGTTTCATTGTGCTCAGCCCGACGAAACAACATTCAATTTTTATCACAAAAACACGTTTGGCAATCGGAGATTTTCCTTCACTCTGGTTGAGCCTACTACTATCAAAACTGTTGTGAGTGGCCTTAAGTACTACAACTGCTCTTCTTAATTTAGTGGACAACATCATCAGGGCCCTTGTAAAAAAATGTGTGTCGCCTTAGTTTCACTGGATTTCTCCAAGGCCTTTGATAGAATTGATCTCGCACTGATGTGTGCTATGTTAAAATTTTATGGTTTTGATGAAATAGCACTGCAGGTTTTTAAATCATATCTAACCCAGCGTTCTCAGCGCATCTCACTTTCTGGAGTTTTGTCAAATGAGCACTTTATCACTTCCGGTGTGCCTCAGGGCTCAATTTTAGGACCCTTGTTATTTTTAATTTATGTAGCCGATATTGCTAAGTCCATTCAAAATTCACAGCTACAGTCTTATGCTTTACTTCTTTTACCCTGAGAACCTCCAGACTGCTACTATGGAAATTAACGAGGGCATTGACTCTATTTGCACCTACTCAGCCAATAACAGCCTAACCGTTAATGGTTCTAAATCTTCTGCTGTGCTGTTTTGTCCAAATCACCGAAGAGCGGAAGTCAAAGCTTCCTTGAGTATATCTATTAACAATCAAAATCTTCCTTTTTCTGAAAGTGTCAAGTGTCGAGGTGTGTTTATTGATGAAAACGTGCGGCTTCGTGG